TTTCTCAATCGTTGTCAAATCACTCCAACAAGGATTCAACAAAAAAAAAATTATTATATATATATTATATATATATAATGTTATAATTTTTTAAATATTTAATTAAGGAATAAGTAAATTCTTTTCAAAGTTCCATGTGGGATAATGGTTCACCAACTTCCACAGTTAAGGCAGTATTTAACAAAAATACTCCTTCTTTTACTCACGGGAGCAGATTACTATTTGTAGGTGGGGGACAATCAAGGTCGCGGCTTAATTCCCAAAAAATATTTTGTAAAGTGGCGGGAACATAATTCGGCTTTTGGGTGCTAAAAGCCATTCCGTCAGCAACATTTTTTTGGTGGTAAGGGTCCTGTCCCAAAATTACTACTTTAATTTGTGGTAAAGATATTTCTCGAAACAAACGAAAAACGTCTTCTTGGGGCGGACAACATCAATGATTTTGGTATTCTTCGTCTATTTGGGTTAGTAAGTTAGTAAAATATTCTTGCTTGATTTGTTCTTGAAAGAACTCGTTTCAACTCTTCTCTACTAAATGGAGATTAAATTTTTGATATAACGGCTGGTTGATTGTCGTTCTGACCATGTATAATATAATTTTAGCAACAATTCACAAAAAATGCTGAAAATAATTGTAAACAAAAAGCTTATATTGGTAAAGTAAAGTTTTTCATTAATTTTTTTGCTTATTGCTAATAAATTCGTTAACTATTTCATTAATTTTTCGAATATCTAAATCCGGGGACTCTTTTTTGATTTGTCCCAGGAGAAAATTTTGGACTTTTTGGGGCTTTAAAGAGTATTTTTGGGCTAAATCGGCATTTCACAATTTTTCTAATTCGGTAAAAAGGAAAGAGTAATCGGCTATTTCTTTTTTTTGGTATTTTTTAATTAAATAAGCAAGAGGTTTTTGAGTATTAATTAATTGTTCCACCGTATTTTTAATTTCCTCGGTTTCTAGTTTTTTTTCTTTTCACAATTGATAAAGTTTGCAATAAGACCGCCACTTTTTCTGGAAAATAGAAAAGTTTTCTTCCGAAAAATAAGGATTTAAATAATTGAGATAAAAAGTAATTCAACTATCATATTCCTTGGCAGATAATAAAAGATTATTTTCTTTTTGCATTTTTCCTCTTTCAATAAACAAAAGCAAGCAAAGAAATTAAACTAGCAAGGAAAATTCCGCCAATTATTAAGATTGTTTTTCAAGGCATCGAATTTGGTGCCGTGTTTTCGTTTTTTTGCTGGTTAGTGGCTAGTTGTGAATTTTCATTTTCGAGTTTGCTGCTATTTTTTCCTTGAGGGTTAGACTCTTTTGGGTTCTTTGGCGGTCTTGCTTTTCTCTCAATAAATTAGCTTGTTCTTGGCTTAAAATAACCTGATTTTGGGCTATTTTTTGGTTCTTGTCGGCTAATATTTCCTCTGCCGTTGTTAAATCTTGTTCTTGTTCGTCTAGTTCATCCTCGCAATTAACTATTTGCTTATTTAGTTGGCTAATCGTGGAATAAGCAGCCGCTAAATCATTCACCAATCTACTTATTTCACTGTTTTTTTTAGCTAATATTTCGTCATTTTCGTTTAATTCGGTTTCTAGGCTACTAACTTTTTCTTTTTCGGCTTGTCAATTGCTCTCGGCTTCCTTTTTTGGCGTTTCTTTCGTGGCTTAATTGCTCTT